CACTTCCTGCATTCTCTTTATGACTTTTTTTCTAAAATATGTACCTAAGAAAAAGTAAGTAGATTTTCGAGGGTAAAATAACAAATCAAGTTTTGTTAAATTTAAGAGTCTTACTTGTTACATTTAAAAGTTTTCATGAGATAATCTTTTGAATAATATTGTATAGGTGGTATTGCGGATAAAACAAATACTTTTTAAGCTAAATATTTGAGTGTTTTAATAGCTTCGTGTAGCAGAATCAAATATTCTGGAATAACTGATAATGATTGCATTGAGTGTTCCATAATCATTAATTAAAATATTTATTCTCCAAAAATTGGCCTTATTGTCCTTGCGCTTTTATTTTAAAATAGATTTTTTTGAAGTTATTTACAGCTGTATTAAACTTTTTTTTATGGTAGTTAATTGTTGAAGTTGATGCGTAATTGGTATAAGTTTTTTTAATATGCCATTTTGCAGAGCTTATATTTGGAGCGCTTGTCGCTATGAATTCATTAAAAATTGTTGAAAAAAACAGTGCTTTCTAGGGACACTAAATCAAGCTTGTAAGTAGAATCATCCTCTATTTGATCATAATTTTGAAACATGCTGTCTCTGTGAGTTCTGCACAGCTAACCAATTATTGGAAAAGAACTAGGAAAACATTTATTAATTTATTTAAAACATTATTTTCATATAATCAACATTATTATGTTCATCATGTTATGAAATGAGTGTTTTATTTTATTTTGACTCTGAATCAAACACTTCTACCAATTAAATTTAAACTCTTCACTTTACAAAATTCATGTAAATATCTCATAAAAATATCATTAAAAAATCTCAAAACGTATTTATAAAAAATATTAATTATTTAGCATTTTGAAAGCAGCTAAATAAGAATATTTGTAAGTTTATAGAAATCTTAAACCACAAAACGTCCAAAAATGTTCTTTCGCTTTCCCCAACGTAGATGTTGAATTATAAGTAACCACTATGTGGGATTTTCTATGAATTCTATCATAGAAAATAGCGGGATACTTTATTATAAATGTAAAATGTTAAACTATACATAACAATAAAAATATATTAAAGAAATGGTTTTAATAATATTAAAATAATTTAAAGACTAATAAAAAAATTAGGGTAATTACTTGTATTTTTTAAAGGTATTAAGTAATTTCATTCAAATCACAAAACTACTTTTTTTAACTAAATAAAGTAAGGTATTTGAATTCAGGGTTCACACATAAAAAAAAAAAATTCAAATATTAAGCAAATACCATACACCAACCAAAATTGAAACCTTTGATTTATTAAATAGCTACTGATTCTAACAGCAGTTTGTTTTTTCTGGTTTCTATCTTCATTTAAGAAAAACAACCTATAAGAGTATTTAAATTTATTGAAACTATATAGGTGTATAAACCATTTTCAAAAAACTAGGAGAAAGGTGCCTATGATGGCATAGCGCTTATGATGGCATACTGGTCATATTTCCATAAATATTGATTTAGTGAAAAACTGATTAGATCTATACTTTTATATTGGCCTTAGAATAGTTTATATGAAAATTTGTAACTTTAGCATAAATATTGTTTTCATTATTAACAGAATTTGTTTTTGGGATAAAATAAAGTAATTTTCATCATTTTATATATTTAATATTATGATTTTAATATTAAACGTAAAAAAATAGAAACTGTTTTGCATTTTATCTACATCTTTTGTGCATTAATTAGAACATTTACTTTAAATGTTTCTTTCGAACAAGGCAAGCACAGCTAGTTTAAGTGAAAATGGTGTCTTTTTTTTTTTTTTAAATGATAGCATATTTACGAGTTGCGCATGTTGGCATTGGTATGCTATCATTGGACTTAATGTTTAAATTACATGGTGCTTAATATTACAAATACAATAATGTATTATTAGCTTTTTGAACTTTGAAAAAATTGTTGACTTTTATTAATTATAATTAGTTAAAATTGCAAAATTTTCATATCATTATATTATTAATGTAAACTATTTTTAACTTAAGTTACACTTTGAGAAAGTTTTTATGGAATTGCCCATAAAAACCTTATCAAAGTGAATCGCCCAAAAAAATATCAACTGCTATTTCACCGCATTGTCAATGATTATGGAACAGTAAAATTTTTTCTTCAAAATATATATAACGTTGAAAAATCCGGGTTAAGTACTGTGCAGAAAAAACCAAAGAAAATATTTGCTACAAAAGGAAGAAAAAAAATAGGGGTACTTAGTAGTGGTGAACGTGGTCAAAAATTGACTGTATTATGTTGTATGAATGCAGTAGAAACATTCGTACCACCAATATTTATATTTCCTAGAAAAAGAATAAAAAATAAGTTAATGGATAGCGCTCCATTAGGTATTGAATCATTTTGCCAGGAAAAAGGGTGTATGACTAGTGAGATTTTCTTAAAATGGCTTGACCATTTTGTACACCACTCTAGTGCGTTGAAAACTAACAAAAAAACTACTTTTATTAGATGGCTACGTTACTCATAAAAGCTTGGCAGTTTCGGAATATGCAAAAGAAAATGGTGTTATAATATTTTGATTTCCATCAAACTGAACGCACCGCGTCCAACCACATGATGTAGGATTTTTTGGTCCATTACAGACATATTATGATCAAGAGATTTAAACATGGCTCAGTCAACATCCCGGTAGAGTTGTGATTTAAAAGGTTACGAACCTGACATTTCCAGGTTCGTGGACTTTTAAACAATGCATATTTAAAAAGTGTAACTTTAGCAAACGCTGTGGATGTTTTTGCCAAAACTGGAATATACCCTTTCAGTCCCAATATTTTTGAAGATTGGATGTTTGCACTTTCATTAACAACAGAACAAGTTGAGATATTTAAGAGCAATGGAAAAACAAAAGAACTTTAGAAAGCATCACATTTTGAAATAAGCTCTTCCACATTAGATTTAATGCAAGAATTTGAGAAATCCACTAATTTTGAAATAAGTTCACTAACATTAGATTTAACACAAGAACTTGAGAAATCAACTCATTTCGAAATAAGTTCTTACATATTAGGAAAAACGCAAGAACTTGAGAGTTCAACACATACAGAAGTAAGCTCTCCTGCATCAGATAAAGTACAAGAACCTAAGAAATCAACACATTTAGATGTAAGCTCTCCTGCATCAAATGTGTCTGTCAGTGTTGAAACTTCTGTTTCAAGACAAGAACTGAAATATGGTATACAAAATCTCCCTTGCCTTTAGCAACTCTAAAAACTGAATTTAGGCGCACAAGAAAACGTGGAAACTGGGCATCTAAATTCTACTCCAAACATCCAAGAATTAAAAGATAAAGCAATAGAAAATGATAAAAAAGAAAAAGAAAAACAAATGAGTAAAGTTGAAAAAGAAAAAACTGTTAGAAAAAGTAAAAGAAAAATGTTACTTGAAAAAATTGATTGCACTGATGCAAATAATACAAGACTCAATAAAATTAATTTTGTATCTAATACAGCTTGTTTATTTTGTGGAGAACTTTATTCACAATCTTATTCCCAGAAACATTTGCTGCTAAAATTGCAACTCTTGGTGTTATTGTTTATGCGCAGGCGTAGATAAAAAACGAAGAAAATTTATATGTGAACTTTGTTTATAACTTTTTGAAGAATATACTTGTATTATTATTGGTAAAAATTAAAAAATACGCTCTGTTTGTGTAATTTATTAATAGTATGCCATCATAGGAGCAGTTGGTTGCTTATGATGGCATACTCGTTCTTTTTTAAAAAATTGAAACAACCTTTAAAAAAGTAAAAATGATAAAAACTTTGAGAGTTGTTATTGTTCTACATGTTACTAGGAATGTATCTATACCAACATTTTTATTTTTGGTCTTCCGGATACTTCATAATGAATCTTCAAAGTTAAGTATGCCATCATAGGCACCTTTCCCCTATTAGTCAATAGCTCATTAGCACATCAATCTTTTGATTCTCAAAGTCAGGATAAAAAAAGCAGGTGAGGTTTTGAGAGATGACTTTTAGACTAAAAGTTAGTTTTAAATCAGTTTGACTGTACTTGCAGTAAAAACAGCGATTTTCTTTTCTTGAAAACTTATAACATACTATTATAAGCCTTACATAACCAGAGACTTTATGCTCAAGAATACAGATTTGCGTTGTTTCATTTATTTTAAAAACTTACTTTTTTCTTTAATTTATACAACTTCATATCATATTCGTTTATAAAACTCAGCACGTCCTCTTATTTAAACAACTTTTTTAACTGCATCAAGTTGCTACAATGAAACACGGACAACTTTGAAAAATGATAACCTCAAAAGTCAACGTTTTATGAAACTCAGAACCACAATAACTTTTGAACCGCTGCGGATTATGGTTTCAATTTTTCAGTTTTTTTATTTTAATGATTTGAAGATATCCCTAAAATTTTCAAGAGAATTCAATAACACAACTAATTCAACTTTCCTTATTCTTATGAAAAACGACTCTTATTAAACAAAGTTTATTTTTATTTTAGTTTTCCAGTTAAATACTTAACTTGTAATATTTATTGTTCAAGCAAGAGATTTGATATATAGTTAATAGAAAATAATAATAATAATAATAATAATAATAATAAATAATAAAAATAAAACATAAAAGTTAAGGAAACTAACGTTAGTAAAGCAAAGTAAAAATTTAAAAAAATTCCTGTTTTAATAAATTTGGTTTAAAACCAACTAATAAAATGTGTGCAAAACAAAAAATAAGACTGGAGCTAAATCAGGAAGACGGCGCTGATAGTAAAACGATTATGACTAATTATCAGCACATAATCTGTATTACCGTTTAGTGCCGGTCAAAATCCAATAATATCTAAGAATGAATTAGGCATGAAGAGTTTGTTAATGCTGTTAATTTCAAAAGCAGAAAGATTGAAATAAACAACACTTTTACAGCTACAAAACCTGTTCAATTTTGTCTTAATCAACCCAAAACGAAAAGCAAGGAAAAGAACTAATCACCTCAAGTGTACACCAATTCCATTAAAAATTTACATTAACCAAATATTTAAATCATGCTTAAAAATAATAAATGTCTCACACAAGTTTAAAATAGCTTTTCCAAGAAAATGCAGTGTCTCATTATTACTTCACAATATATGTATTAGGTACAAGCTTAAAGTATACATATATATATATATATATATATATATATATATATATATATATATATAAATGTATATATATGATGTATGTATACAACTCTATATTGCTGGTCTACACCTCAGTATAAAACGATTAAACAGAGACTAAGTTTCAGACGGTGTGAAGTTTTTCCAGATTGATGGAGGTTGACAAAATATATTTTGTTTGGTTTCCCAGGAGACAGATGTATAACGCTGCCAATCTTCCTCTGGTTCATCGTAATAAAACGCGTGGTAGCATTTTTTGTCTACTGCAAACACGTCAGGGCCAAAAACCACAGGAGTTGTCAAACGAACATTTCTCGATTGTATAATAGATCGGTACGCGCAACGATCAGTATTTAAGTAGTACTTGACTCCTAAAAAAAAAAAAATTTTAATTTTTTTTTTTAAGGTGAACACGCTGTTTTGCTTTGTAATTTTTGAGAAGTGTAGTCCATTAAGAACAAATTTAGTGGTTTACAAGTTAATTAGAGCAGGGTTATCATGATGGGATGATGAACCTTATGTGGTTCACAAAATGGTTAAAACAAACATTAAACTCCAACCTAAAAGTAAATTTAGTCTTCACTTTAAAATGAGTGCTATCTTCGCTAACACTCGCCTTTTTATTAACTTACTGTAACAAGCAACATGAAAGCAGGTTAAAAAAGATACTAATACTGCACGTAAAAATTATGAATCAAAACTAGTACTATTTTCAAAACATAATCTAAAAATAGTATAAAAATGTATCAGAAGTCAAAAAAAAAAAAAAAAAAAATACTGTTTCTAGTTCCACCTCAGAGGATAAAAAGAATTGACACAACAAAACCGCTCGACAAAGCAGAATATCTAAATAAACTTTTTAAACCTGTATTTTCTTAGATAAATTGCAAGACCAAGTTTATATTTTCAATTGAATTTGATTAGACATGCAAAACTGACAAATTTCATTATTATGAAGCGGCTGTAATTACTAAAATTGTAAAAAAGACAGTTAGAAAAGCACAAACCAATTGGCTTAAATGACATAAGCCCATACTTTTTTAACAAGTATCATATAGTAATATCATGAATTTTTTCCTTTCTAATATTATTATTATTTTAAACAGAAATGTTTTTCGGCACATGGAAGAAAGTCAATATGACCCCGGTATGCAAAGAAAAAGATAATATGACCCTTCTGAGTACATAACAATCTCTTTGCAAGCCATAATATGTTAAATCACGTGTTAAATTAAAAAAAAAAAAAAAATGGCCCACCTCTTTCAAGACACATTGAGCTCAAAACACCAGCATGGCTTTGTTCGGCAGAAGCCATGTTGTACCGATTTACTAGTAACGGTAGACATTGTCTTAATGACACATAAACTATATATACATAAATTGCATTTCATGCAATTTATGTATATATAGATTATGCTAAAGCATTAGATAAAGTGTGCCATTAAACAATGATTTAAATTTAAACGGCTAAAGGTTCAATCCAAAACATCTTAATGGAAATAAAAAAAGCAAAATTAAAGTATTAATAATCAAAAAATCACCCAAAACACTTAACTTATGAGAGTATATTAAATTTGCAACAGGAAGGCAACAGCCGTATATATCTATTGTAATAATGTCACTTTTCCTTATTAACAAATATCACTTTTCTTATTTCTTTTTATTATTTTCCATTTGTTATAATTTTATTGGAATTCATAAACAAAAAATAAGAAATGTTTTACAGCAAAACAAATTGTGGTGGCACATATATTTTACTCTAGCTTAAAAGTAAGTAAATGTTTTTTGAGGCCCCAAATTCATATATACTTTATTTTATATATTTTATTTATTTATTTATTATATAAATTAAATAATATAAGTTATATTATAAAGTATAAATGATTTGAGATTGTCAAAAAAACATTTACTTAACAGGTTATGCATAAGTCTTCGAATTTTTTTTATAGAGTCGTAAAAAAATATTGTTAGTAGATAAAAAAATGAAACTCTATGATAAAGAACATTCATTCTAGTATTTATTAACATATTTAACAAATTGAATAGACGCCTCTATCAGCGAATTTTCTAAGTATTGTTTTAACACTCTTTGTAACGGTCTGGATCATTTTTTGTTATTTCATTTAATTTGCTCTTTATTTTTCGAACTTGTTGATATATCATACGTGCTCTCCAACCATCACTGTATACCATCTGACTTAAAACAGCCCAAAATGTTTCAATTGGTCTAGCCTGTGGAACATTTGGTGGATTAGTGCATTTATGTACAAATTTTAGGGAATTATCAATAAACCAATTTTCTATTTTATTAGCATAATGAGCAGTTGCAAGATCTGCCCAAAACATAAAATTATTATCTTAATGATGTTCTCTAACAAGTGGTATAGTCTTTTCTTCATACATTCTTTCACATATATATTGGATGTTATTGAATTCTTTGATCTATGTATATAAGGTTCACAAAATCCATTTGAAGAAATACAAATCCAAAGCAATATCTTTTCTTCGGATTTTTTTTTCAACTTATATTTTACATTATCAGGGGCTAACAATTTATTATTTATATAATATATATCATTTCTAGGTATATTTGAGTTTGATAGGTTGAAATATTTTTCGTCATCCATGATTATATCTTTTTCATGGAATACTTTATTAACTAATTTTCTCGATGATGTTGCTGCTCTCTGTTGTTGATCTTTTTCATACAAAGGTGCTTTTTGTTTTTTGTAGCATTTAATATCTGTTTTGAAATTAATAGTTCTTAAAATTGTGCTTTGATTCACCTTAAGATGTAAAGCTAAATACTTTTGACTAATACCAGTTGAATTATTTAGCATTTTAGTCAATTGTTTGACTTTTTTTTTATCCATTTTTGGAGGACAACCTGATCTAACCAAATCATTATACACACCATTGTTTTCATACCTTGCAAGAATACTAAATATAGTTGACTTTGGTATTCCTTTATTTTAAAAATGTTTATATGTTAATTTCTTTTTATCGCTTGTACGATTTTTATAGAACGTTACAATTCGTTTTGCAAGAGCTTCTCGATCAAACCTTGTCATTTTTTTTTGTATAGAAGTCTAGATAAAAATTAAAAGTGATTGAAATACATTAATGTTTGATCTTCAAAATAAACTATAAGTTGAAGGTTGAAAACTTACTATCCTTATTTAAATCAGTTTCAAAAAAAGTTCGAAGACTTGTGCATAATCCGTTACTTTTAAAAGAAAATCAATTATCATGATATTATGTAATATATTGTCATGGGTTTTACTATATTATATAGATTATTGTACGATAGGTTAAACTATTTAATAATAAATGTTGTCATTGGTGATATTATTATATTTCATTAAATATTTTATTTCAACGAATTATAATTTTTGACTTGGTAATGTTATACTAATAGCATGATTTGACGTTCTCAAATCATTTACACTTTATATTATTTATTTTAAATTTATATCATTCATAGTAAAAGTAATAATTATACATATAATTATGTTTATGTATTTATATAATTATATATATATTTATATATATATATATATATATATATATATATATATATATATATATATATATATATATATATATATATATATATATATATATATATATATATATATATACATATAAATATAGAAACAAAATATATTTATACCACTTACTTATACTGCAAATGGATAAATCTGTAGTTAAGCAGCGCGCCTTTGAAAAGTTAAAACAATTTTCTGGCATAACCAACAGTAAGTAAAATAATAGACAATTATTTTATGGTAATTAAATGGATCACATCTAAGTATCTTGTTTCAAATTTAAAAGCTGCAGTTTGAACAAACCAACCTTTAAATTATATCTTTATTTCGCCGTTTAAATAAGGTTTACAATGTTCAATAATATAATATTATAAAATGATTGGCTGGTGCAAGAAGAAGACATATTAGCTTTATTACCAAACCCCTTTAAAAACATTTAAAAAAATCCAAAACATCATAAATAAAAAATAAACAATTTCTAGTAGTTAAGAACCAAAAAGTATTAAAACAATTATAACAGTTAAAAATAAGTTAATAAGTTAAAAAAAAAATAGTATAATTAAATTATAAAGATGACAAAGTCCCTGTTTTGGGTTATGTATCGTAATTTAAAATAAAAAAAACAAAACTTTTTTTCATATTATTTGAAAATATATTAAGGTTTTTATAAAAAAACGTACATCAAGTTATTTTATGAAAGAGATTGCATATTTAAATTAAACAAACATACATAAAATGGTATTGAGAACAAAAAATTTCTCAAAGCCATAATTAAATAAGAAATAAATATTTAAAATAAGGACTTAAATTTAAAAATAATAACTAATAAGATTTGTGTGCTCCAAAAAATTCTTTTTAATTAACTTTTGAAAGCAATTAATATTTTTTACACCCATTATATTACTATTTTTGGCTAAGATTTTGTTCCAGATATGTAATTTTAAATTGTTCTTGTTTAGCATTGGATAAAGATTCAATTAAATAGCCTGTTGTACGCAAGGTATATTTATGGTTAGATTTTGTTTCATAAAGATCGTTAAAATTTGAAAGACATTGTTTGAATTTATTTTTGTACATAAGACTCAAAATTTTATATATGCTTAGCTTGTATAATTTATAAATATTTATAATTTTAAAAAGTGATTTTGCATATACTTTTTTATTTTTAAAATAATTATTCTTAAAGCATGTTTTTTTTTTCTATAGAGTGTTTCTAGTTTGCCTTTAGTAGTACTGCTCCAAGCAATATTTGCGTAATTTTAGTAACTTTGTGTAAAGCTAAAATATATTTGTTTAAGGTGATGTTTGTTTATGAGATACCTTTACTGGTATAAAGTTTTTATACTTTTTGATATTTTATTGCCAATATCAGCAATATGTTTGTTTCAGGATATATTTTTAACAACAAGCACACTAAGAAATTTTGTCACTCTTGCACGACTATTTTTTGTTTTTAATAATTAGTTTAGTAATTGAAATTATAATTTTTTTAAATTTACTTAAAGGATGGAAAAGAGAAAACTTTGTTTTATTTGAATTAATTGAGCCCTTGTTTGCTTTTAACCATATTGAAATATTTACTAGCTCATCGTTTACTTGAAAAAGAAGTTGACGTATATCTTTGCCGGAGATTTAAAAGTTACTGTCGTCAGCAAACATTATTGTTGAGATATTTAACACCCTCCAAAGATCATGCACATATATAAAAAAAAGTAGAGGCCCAAAAAACAATCCCTGGAGCACAACACAAGATATCAAATAAGCTAAAATGTTTGATGGTTTTTTTTGTTGTCTTAACTTTTCTTTGATATTTTATTTTTTTT